ACTTGGTCCTCTTTATGTACAGCTTTTTCATCTTTGTGTACAGCTTTTTTCTTCTTTAAATTAAGCTTTTTCCTCTTTATGTACAGCTTTTTTCTTCTTCTTTCTTTTCCTTCTAGATAGGAAAATTTCCCCAGATATTTAAACTCTCAACCCTTTAAACACTGGAATTACAAGCTCAATAATTTCCTTGGTTGATTACACATGATCATTTGATTATTATCAATCAATTAATCACCCCATCGATCACCAGCCTGGTTATAAAGTGTTGAGCTAGTTTGAGCGTGCAGGCGTGGAACGATATAATTACGCGGCAAGAGAGCATGAGAACTGAAGGGTGGCTTGTGGGAACCATTTTCTACCAGTTTCCGAGAAATTTTTGGGGATTTCAGGCATACGCGGGGGGAGGAGAAAATTCCTTTTATAGGAATGTATTAAACCTACTTTTGAGGTTCTTTTTAAATATATTTAAATGATTATTTTTGCAATTTTTAAAATGCTAACACTGCTATTGATATCGTTGACATTATTGATTTTATAGGTAATAATTTCATCATTTAAATAATAACTCCGTCATGATAAAATTATTTATAATGATAACTTCATCATGAAATTGAATGATAACTCCATTGTTCAGTTTATTCTAAACGAATATTAAGATGTTATATCTTAATAGGATAACTTTTGTTATTTAATTGATGAAAACGTCGTCACATATAGATGGTTACTTAGATAATAATTTTATCTTAAAATATTAACTCCGTTATTTAGGGGATAAACTACGTGATTTATAAAACGATTCTGTTAGCTAGATAATAAGTATTTCATATAGCAATTATAATAACTCCATTGTTTTAGATAACAACCCAGTCATTTAAAAAATAACTGAAATGGATAACAACTGCGCGTTTTAGATAACATCTTCGTTATTTGGATATTAACATTTATTAATAACAATACAGTACACAGTACACTGCACACACACATAGTACACAGTACACAGTACACAGTACACAGTACACAGTACACAGTACACAGTACACAGTACACAGTACACAGTACACAGTACACAGTAAACAGTACACAGTACACAGTACACAGTACACAGTACACAGTACACAGTACACATCACACAGCACACACACATAGTATACAGTACACAGTACACACACATAGTACAATGAAACAATTTGTATTTCTCATTTTCAACAATCATTTTAAAACCTTTTCCCATAAAGTATTTGTTTAAGGCAGTTTCTGCGGTTAATGGGCCAATATCACATAACCATGCTTAAATGAAATAGGCAGGGAATGAGGGAAGGGAGTCAATAAGGGGGGGGGTGGTAGATTTTATAATCTTTAAGGCTTTAAATTTATTTAAGATTTAATCAGATTTAATTTTTTCTAGTAATTATGAAATATATTGTGCCCTGTTTATACCAAAGGAAACATAGGAATTATGCTTCAGTGTGGCACCACGTGACCACATGTGCTTTAGTGTGGCACCACGTGACCACATGTGCTTCAGTGTGGTTTACTTTAACTTTCATCATTTTTTTGTAAAAGATTGAGACGGCATTCTAAATCTAAATCAAATGTTTATTTTAGGAAAGCAAAAATTTCCTGGAAAGATTTTTTTAGTGTAAAACGTAGGGTTAAAATCTTTCTAAAGTCGCAAAAAAAATTATAAATTAAAAGTTTTGAGTTCCATGTGCTACCCCTAAAACATTGTAAAACTAAGGCAAAACTCTAGTCAGACAAATTTTTAGATCTGATTCTAAATCACTTCTTAAAACACTGTACTTTTACTGTGTACTAATTGTATGCATTGTATTTTTACTGTTTACTAACTGTACAAATTGCCTACTTATGAGTGGGTAACCGCCAAAAAAAGTCTCTGAAAAAAAATCCTATCATTTTGAGACTTTATTTTCGATATGGCTTTATTGCCACGGGACTTTTTTAGTGCCAACATTTTAGGAAAATAAGTCCCGGGAATCTAAAACTCAGGACTTTATATCCAGTGACATTTTTTCCAATAGGACTTCAGAAAATTAGGACTTTTGTATCATAGTTTTTATTTCCAGTTTTTCAGAAACTTTTTTTCCGCTGACTTTCAAAAAAATGTGTTTTAAAGGTTTTTAATTTTGTAAAAAAATTAAAATTCTTGAAAATCCGCGAAATTTTTTTCTTCTTTGTTTTAAAATGTAAACAAAAAGAGCATGTTCACAATTTAAATAGAAGATGGGCGCGTAGCGCGCGCCCTAAAAACCTAGAAAACATATATTAGGGTGTATGTATGTATATATCTATATGTGTTAGCTATAGCTGGCCAAACGGCTGAACCTAATAGGCTACAGTACATTTTAACAAATGATAACAATTCGTCACCTTCATATGTCGAGAACAAGTCAATTTTGTATTGGGTAATTTTTATATTTAATTTATGGTAAAAACCTGCTCAATCAAGCCTTGTTACTTAAGATTCAAAAACTGGGAATCGACAAATTTGGCGTTTTTTTCATCTGAATTTTAAGTATTTGCCGAAATTTAAAAAAAAAATCTTTTATCATCTGGTTACACAAAATAAGCACTCTCTAACTTAGACAGAAGGTAAAGGTAAAATTTATGTTACTGTTACGACTTTAATTCTCCGGAGCTTTTCTAGTTTTTTACTTTTTGCGAAAGTATGGAAAAAGCAAAGTTACTAGAAAATGCAAAACATCTTCAATGAGATGAGTTATGATTCAAAACATTTAATATTTCAATTTAAAGACGTAATTTACTTTAGTCTAATCATAGATAAATAAATAAACATAGATAGCTTATGTACGCAAAATCACCAAGAATCGTACAGTCCGCGGCAGAAAGCGGGGTGGTTTGGTGTTTTAATTTCAATATTTCAATGAGCAATATTGACGAGAACTGAAGAAGGACATGAGAAGGACTAAATTAACTTAAATTTCTCTCTACAGAACTCATGTACACCACAAGTACTCAATGACATAAGAACAACCAATGTTCACAACCGACCTAGTTAATTTATATAATAGGAATATCTTTACAACATCTCTGTACATTTATATCTTTCAAGATGAAAAATGTCGTCTTAAGCGCAATCTATCTTTATCTATGAGTTTGACAAATAGAATTAACTAAACGAAATTTCAATATGAAGTAGTTTTTAAAGGTTTTCAAGGGTATTTTTTTAGTAGCAAATTTTACGAAGATAAAGGGTCTGGCCGGCAAGTCGCTATTTCCGAAGAGCATACAGTTGGTTTATTTTGCTCTAGGGTTACATTAACTCTTGAGAACATTCTAGACTTTTCCATTCATTTTCAGCAGCTTTATCACGTGGTTTCCTAGTTTCCGGTTTAACAGTTTCCGGTTTCTCCGAACTCATTAACAAGAGGTGTGGTGGTTAACTGATGGGTTATATCTATCTATCTATTTATCTATGGATATCTCTAATAAGAGCGCAAACCCAATACTTTTAGAATATAATACCTCAAGTATATAATATTTATATATAATTGCTATTATTCATATATATATGTAGACGATTTCAAACATAAAACACCGTGTATACTAAACAAAACATGTTCTGAGCTTATCTATGAAGTATATACATACATATTGCAATGAATGGGAAGAGGATTGGTATTCTAGTAGACATGTCTGGCATAGGTCACATGCAGGCCTTTCATTCAGGCAGTAGTTTCCCAGGCAGTAGACAGCCAGATAATCAGACAGTTAGCTATGTATGCTCAAATATGACGAATTCATATATCCCTTTATAAATACCATAAAAATTATATTTAGTTACGTTTCTAATAGAAAACACACGTTCTTTGCATCTTTTATTTAAACAAGAGAAACAGTGAACTCTACTTTTTTACGTTTATGTACATTGTAAATACAAATAGATTATCAAGTACAAATCTCCATATTACAATCTCTTAGTAAATAAAAAATATTAACTTGAATGTTTTAAACATTTTATTTGCTTTCAACGCTGAATAACTTTTCTTAAATTAGACAATTTTGCATTTATACGAAGCGTTACCATGTCCTTGTTCGGGTTTATAGAATTTGGTTCAAGTATGAACATTGTCGTAGACTGTAGACTGTACACTGTACGATGTACAACTTTCCTGCATTTCGCAAACTTTTGGATCAAAGATTTGCGCGGCTCAGTGGCTCAGAAGTATCACGCCTAAACATGATTTATTAAAGTAAATGTCGATAAAAAATTATATTTACGAGGAAAAAATATTTAAAAACAACATTTGTTTAGGATTAATGGAAAATAAGATTGTGAAAATGACAAATGTAAATAAATGTAAATAAATGTAAGTAAATGTAAATAAAGGTAAATAAATGTAAATAAATGTTTTTAAATGTTTTTAAATGTAAAGAATGTAAAGAAATGTAAAGAAATGTAAATAAATGTAAATAAATGTTAATAAATGTAAANATCTAAACATTAGATTACGTTTCAACATCCAGTAGCGTACATACCGATCTAAACATTATAGTACATTTCCACATCCATTAGGGTACATACCGATCTAAACATTATAGAATGTTTCAAAATCCGTTAGCGTACATACCGATCTAAACATTATAGTACATTTCCGCATCCATTAGCGTACATACCGATCTAAACATTATAGTACGTATCCACATCCATTAGCGTACATACCGATCTAAACATTATATACATACATTTCCACATCCATTAGCGTACATACCGATCTAAACATTTTATACAATGTACACGAGAATATCTACAATCTACATAACTACTTTAGTACCTTGTCAATTAGAGTAAGTTAAGAAAAGTATTTGCATGTTGGTTCTGTTTACAAGCAAATATTCAATCAGATACTTTGATAAACAAAAAGGATGATTTTGGTTGCATTAAATTGAGCATTAAAATTACCTTAACTCCATCTGGATAACGTTTACTGTTTTGCTTCCTACCGACAAATGGAACTTTATATCTATCGTTGAGAAGTCTAGAACAATAACTGATTTAATTATGATTTAACGCATTGTTTGCTAAAATCTCACTAATGCCAAAATTTAACTTTCAACTTGTATAAAAGTATTTAAAAGAAAGGGGGAAAAAATTAAATTCAAACATTAAGGCGTTTGCAATAATTCTCTATTATAAAATAGAAGCAATCAAAGCTTAAAATATAAAATATAAAGATGAACTATGAACTATTAATTTATTTCTATCCGGGGTATCAGAGTATTAGACCAATACCGTCCATCAACAGATCCAATATTTTTACATAAAATACAACTACAGTGATAACCAGAAAACTATAGAATAGGAAGACGACATTAAAACAATATTGAAATGCATTTTATGCTGTTACAAGAAAATAGATCTACTAGTAAGTTACTAAATAATTTATTAAATGAACTGGGTCTGTTTACCCTGCACAGGTGCTTAGCCTACTGTTCATTACTTGAGTCTAAATGTAGACTTCCTATTTCAGAACTTTTTGGTAATCACTGTATATGAAAAGAAGAATGTTATCAATCGATCAATCCCTTGAAGGAAGTTAATGCTTTACCCGCAGATATCATCTCCGATTCTAACTCCTTTCTTGGCTCTCTTAGGGTCAATACTTGGGTTCTCATACACTAGTCTCCCTTCAAGCTTCTTGTACTAAATACACGTATATTTATAGTAATATATAATTATAGTAAATATATATATATATGTATATGCATTCATATTTTTCTCTAACTGTCTAAACTGTCTAAACTGTCTCTAACTGTCTAAAAACTAAGCTAAGAACATTCCTTGGTTATTCCGAGTTCCCTAATCAAAAGAAAATGTATTGTGTACCGTAAAAAAATAAAACCTGATATTGTAATCAATATATAAACTTTGCTTGTCTGTTTGTTTGTCAGTTTGTATCCGCTGAACGTAAAAACGGCTGAACCGATTGGGCCCAAATTTTTTCGGGACCTGACAAGATTGACACGAAGCGCCCTGGAAGTCTAGTAAAATAATATCTATCTCACATTGTTGTTGTCTGACAAAAAAGATATAATTTAAAATATAGAATCTAAAAACTAAGCTAAAAACATTCCTTGGTTCTTCCGAGTTCCCCAATCAAAGGAAACTGTATTGTGTTTGTTTGCCAGATAAACCATACCGTATAAAAATCAAGACCTAATATTGTAATCTATATATAAGCTTTGTTTGTCTGTTTGTTTGTCCGTTTGTATCCGCTAAACGTCAAAAAGGCTGAACCGATTGGGCCCAAATTTTATCGGGACCTGACATGACTGACTTCGCCTTGGAAGCCCAGTAAAATAATATCACATTAAATTGAACCATTTAAAGATGAGCTCATGCCAAAAAAAATATAATTAAAAAATTAAAATATAATAATGATGTTACTTCAGAATCGACTGAATTGAATTTATATTGCCGGTTTCCCTACACCTCTACGAATCCTTGCAACTGTAAACTTGTTTCTTTCTTTTCAAATCATTAAATAAGCAATTAGAAAACTATTTTCAGGGTAGAAGCTTTAATTTAACCTTAGTATTATGGTCATATTTATTAATTTTAAGGTCGTCCTTAGACGTAAAGAGGACACCAGCTAGACTGTAATCTTACCATGCTACATTTGTTGCATAAAACGTGCTGGTTCGACTCTGCACGGTGTACCATGTTGTCCAGACAGGACGGTACGACTGAATGCAAACACAGTACATGTTGCACCGGCTCGGATCATGCGAATTTTAGAGAGTGCTGGCTTACCAAGTTGGAGCAGAATTCAATCCAGCGTGGGACAGATTCTTCAGTAGGACATTCATCAGCACTCCACGTAGCGTTGAAGATAAACATGCGCTCTATAGGGGGCTTACCGTACTAAATAAAAAACTTTCAAGTTTTCTTAAATTAATTTTTTCAGATTATTGTTTTTTAACAAAAGTTTTACAAAAAGAGATTTCAGTTTCAGATTTGATCAACTAAAAAGTTTTCTTTGTAATGAAAAGTTATCGATCGATTGCAAAATAAATAAATTATTCAATGAATAATTAAAATAAAAATTACTTGACAAAAAAAATGTTGAGAAATTATTGAATTTCTTAATTATGTCACTCATTCAAAAAAAAAAGTGTGAAGATTTAAAATTTCACCTCATTTGCGTAAAAGAAGCCGCAGCGCAGAGCTGACCTGAAAAACATGTTCTTGTTCTAATTGTTTCTCTACAAACAAAAAGATTCATAATTTTGTTTCAAAATGTTTATTTGTTAGTATTATATAAGTTTCAAACTATAGATACTAAGTAAAGTAGTATATAAAAACTTGCTGAAGTGTCCGGCGTTGCCTGTGAAATTAAAAAAAATCTGTTGAAAAAAATTTTTTATAAAAAAAGATTTTTGAAAGAAAAAATATTTCGATTTTTTAGCATATGCTACTCCAAGGTTTCATAAAAATTTCAGCCAATTTGGTCCAGACATTTGGCCAGCTATAGCTAACATACAAAAATATGTATACATATATATACACACCCATACTTACATATAAGAATATATTGCAAGAGCGCATAAAAATTCGTCTTGAAATTTATCAAAAAATTTTGACAGCTGTTTTGCTTCATCATTGGTTTTCAGAAAAAGAAAGGTGCTGAGATGTTCGCAGTTTCAAAGGGTTGAATACGATTTATGAAAATATATCCAAATATCTTTGTAGAGTTTTTTGATAATTCTTAAGAAACTGCTTTTTACTTTTAATTTAATAAATTAATAGCCCTGAATTATGCAGGACAGCAATTGATATAATAAACTCGTTTTCCCGCGGTATTTGATCTTAAATATGTTGAGAATACGACATTTTAAAAAAACTCTTGCGATGTATTCATATATCTGGGATTGACTGTTTATAAGCGAAGAGCTTTATTATATAGAATATATATTGAAATAAGAATAGAATTTACTCTAGCGGTGTATCTCCAACTTTATTCAGCTCCTTTAAATCCTCAGCCAAACCTTCTTCATCATCCTGAAATTCATCATTAAAAGGACTGTGAGCGTAATTCTAAGTGCTCCTCCACGCAATGCCCGATTTACAAGGGTACCTTTTAAAGCTTTGTCTGATCAAGTAATAGTTAGATATTAATGTTTAAAATCTTGAAAATTAATTCTTTCGATTGTGGGTTCTCAGCAAAAGTGATTTGCGCATTTGTACTGCAGGATAACATTAAGAAATTATTAGAGCAAACACGATTTACTCCACATTATACTCCACGATATACTCCACGATATACTCCACGATATACTCCACATTATACTCCACATTATTGATCAGATAACTGTTACAAATATACCTTTGTGAATCGGACATTGTCGTCTTTGCATGAAGGGTCAGGTAAAATTACGCTTTATATGAAGTCTCATTAAAGGGACTGTTGTAGAAAGTTAAAGTGAAGCTTTAATTAAAATAAATTAAACTATTTAAATTTAAGATTTTTAGTGATTCCATTTAATCTCAAAAATTGAGAAAAAAAAAACAGAAATTTCTTTAAAATATAAATTTATATATGTAACCTGGGGAGCAGCTAGTGCGACCGCCAGGGTCAACAAGATGACCGCAAACACGTGACCTCGCATCCTTTACATATATAACACGTATAATTAATATAATCATATTCAAAATTAATCAATTTTATTGGGTATTATTTATTTTTAAAGGCCTTTAATAGACAGAAGAAAATGATTAAATGTAAAAAAAGGAAAATTTATGATGTTCCAGAAACCGATTTTTTAACTTAGAGACCTTTTTCGATATGTACAAAGAATATTAAGTAACCTACGCTATACTCCTGTATCAATGAAAAATAAGGAACCTACCCTATACTCTTGTATCAATGAATAATAAGGAACCTACCCTATATTATTGTATCAATGAACAATAAGGAACCTATCCTGTACTCCTGTATCAATGAATAATAAGTAACCTACCCTATACGCCTGTATCAATGAATATAAGGAACCTACCCTATACTCATGTATCAATAAATAATAAGGAACCTACCCTATATTATTGTATCAATGAATAATAAGGAACCTACCCTGTACTACTGTATCAAATTCAATGAATATAAGGAACCTACCCTATACTCCTGTATCAATGAATATAAGGAACCTACCCTATACTCATGTATCAATGAATATAAGGAACCTACCTTATACTCCTGTATCAATGAATATAAGGAACCTACACTATACTCCTGTATCAATGAATATAAGAAACCTACCCTATATACTCCTGTATCAATGAATATAAGGAACTTACCCTATACTCCTGTAGTATAAAGGTGTACTGGATTGAATAGTATGTAAGGTTCTATTTATACAAGATTGTCCAGTCCTTTAAAATCCGATCATTTCCAGCTCAAATAATTCAGGAGCATGTTCAGTTGTATAAGAGTATTTTTAGAACCTACAGTAAAAAGAGTTATATTTGCAAAATTTAAGACTTCACAAACAAATTTAATATTTAAATTGCTTCTATTCAGTTTTTATGAGTAAAAATAAAGCGACATTGACGTAAAAAAAAACGATTAAATTTGTTACTTTTGAACTAAAATTAATACGATTTTTTTTTAATCACGTTTTAAGTTGCTTTGACGACCCTATGATAAGACATAATGTGTTTCTACAATGGGTCAGAGTAAATTCAGCGTAATAATCCATTCTGATCAATTTAAAATTATCCATTTAAAATTTGTTAAGCTGGATTTGCACTCGAATTAAGTTTCGTAGTTTCAATTTTTGAATTAAAAGTACGGGGTTAGAAACATATCATTCACATGTCAGAGATAAATCATTTCACGCCTTAAAACCCTTTTTTGCATTTATGTACTCAAATGTACAAAAAAAATATCAAAGGAATTGAGCCTTTGCCACAAACTCTTATACATATAATCTTTGCAACCCAATGTCGTAGACCTTAAATATTGCAAACTATAAATTCTGTTAGATTAAATATTTTAATTTTGAAATATCTTAACAATTCATCCTGTTGCAAAATAACAGGGATTAGAAAATTTGACTCAATTCCTTTAGAATTATGAAATGCTTGAGTTTAAACTATGAAATGTTAGAGTTTAAACTATGAAATGCTCGAGTTTAAAATATGAAATGCTCGAGTGTAAAATATGAAATGCTCGAGTTTAAAATATGAAATGCTCGAGTTTAAAATATGAAATGCTCGAGTTTAAACTAAAAAATGCTCGAGTTTAAAGTATGCAATGTTTGAGTTTTAACTATTAAATGCTCCTGTTTAAACTATGAAATGCTCGAGTTTAAAATATGAAATGCTCGAGTTTAAACTATGAAATGCTCGAGATTAATCTATAAATGTGGGAAGCCAAAAGTAGATTGGGTTTGTATTTGAAAAAGGTAAAAATGTCGTAGGACAACAGTTAGGTTTCAAATAACTGAAAAAGTAAGTAAGTAAGTAAGTAAGTAAGTAAGTAAGTAAATAAGTAATTATGTAAGAAAAAAAATGTAGTTTTAAATTTTCAGTTTAGATATCTGTAGCTTAAAAAATAAAAAAAAGTTATGGAACAATGCAACCAAGAAATTCGTAAATTCACTGAATGAATTGGTTAAGCCCATTGCTTTCTTCATGGTTTGCTTTTAATATTAAAACCAAAAAACTCCTAAAACGGTCAAAGTTATAGACCAAATGTCAAAGATAAATGCTTGAATAGCATTATGAACCTCACTTCCAATTTTTTCAGCATGCAAATTTTAAAAGAAAGCTATTTTATATAAGGATTAACAATATTGCACTTTTTATCTTGTATGTATGTTTCTTAAATAGGGGTTCCAGTTGCAATAAAGTAGCTCTCAACGATGCGTAATATTTGCTTTCTATCGCGCATCAGCGATAAAATATTCAGAATTATAAAAATTTTCAATTTAATGATAAAGCTCTTCGCTCATGATCTATATACATATTTATACGTTAGCTATATATCTGGACCAAATTTGCTGATTTTCTTGAGGGAACTCATAGGTATATAGCTGGATCAAATTGGCTGATTTTTTTGAGGGAACTCATAGGTATCCCAAGGGTAATACGGGCTAAAAATATTCGGTTTTTTTTCAAGAGGGAAATTATTTTTTCAAATTATTTTTCAAATTTTTAATTCCACGGGCAACGCCGGGAATTTCAGCTAGTTTATAGATTCAGTTTTTGTTTATAAAAACATGGGATTGATATGAAATGTTGAAACACGGCTGGATCCTGGGGTTCCAACCGTTCAACATTTACAAAATAAATACAAAACAAACTCCTCGAACTTTATTCAGACCAAATATAAAATATTTAACCTAATTTATTTAGTAAATTTGACAAAATTAAAGGAACTGTATAGAAGGTTTAAATTCAATGCACTTCCACAGAGAAGATTAGAGGATCTGAACAGTTTCCTTTAAGCCTTTAACTAATCAAGAATTACGAATTTATCATGATAACCTCCAGCATGCATGAACACCATCCTGACAACATCCAGCATGCATTGGCACTACCATGACAACCTCCAGCATGCATGGGCATCACCCGGACAGCTTCCGGCATGAGACACTACCCTGACAACCTCCAGCATGCATGGACACCACAATGACAACCACCTGCATGCATGGACACTACCCTGATAACCTCCAGCATGAGACACTACCTTGACAACCTCCAGCATGAGACACTTCCCTGAAAACCTCCAGCATTCATGGACACTACCCTGACAACCTCCAGCAGTCATGGACACTACCCTGACAACCTCCAGCATGCATGGACACCACCCTGACAGCCTCCAGCATGCATGGACACTACCCTGAGAAACGTCTAGTTTCTGGAGGCGTGATTTTTAAATTTATTTTTCTGTTTCCGGTTCTCAATCACAAGTTTGGATAAGTCAAGAAAGGAATTGAGTCTTTATCACAAACTCAAAGTTTTTAATCTCTATACCTTTGCAACCTGATTGTGTAAACTTTTGATATTTCAAACTTAGATTATTTGATAAAACAGAAATCATAGTTTGAAATATATAAGGTCTACGACATTGGGTTAAGGAGATATAGGGATTAGAAAATCAGAGTTAGTGGCAAAGACTCAATTCCTTTGAGCATTTTAATTTCTATTCTAAACAGTGTTTCAGTTATCTGAATAAAACCTGGGAGGTTAAACAGTGTTTCAGTTATCTGAATAAAACCTGGGAGGTTAAACAGTGTTTCAGTTATCTGAATAAAACCTGGGAGGTTAAACAGTGTTTCAGTAATCTGAATAAAACCTGGGAGGTTAAACAGTGTTTCAGTTATCTGAATAAAACCTGGGAGGTTAAACAGTGTTTCAGTAAATACGTCGTAATCCCCGTAAATATATCCTTAGGAAGGATGAGGATACTGGCTACAGGACTAAGGAGATGAAAATCAAGTAAAGTCAGCAAAATTCAATTTTATTCCTACATCAGCTTATTTTAAAAATCTCTCACCACAAACTCGATTTCACCTTTAACCGATCTCCGCCAAGTTTGATTTATTTATATTTACAAAAAAAATGTTATTTGTGGTTTATACAATTTTATATCATACTTTACTTTAGGCGTGTTATTTCTGATTCATTTTTTTACAAGGTTATTTTTGTCAAAGTTCAAAATCTAGGCGTAGATCGGATATATGTTGGCTGGGTTTGAACTATCTCGTGTGAATGTGTTGTGAGATGGCCACCAGCTAGTTATACTCCAGGTATAGCTCAGGTTAGATCAGCTCACCTCATCTCCAAGCTCAAGGTTAACAGGATAATTTATCAAAATATAGTACCATCAACCAATAACAGCTTTCCACTTTAAACCTGCACATCGATTTATTTTTCTTTATGAAAATTGAGTGTCAGTGGTTTTCTTAAAAGTGAATTCATGATTTACAGAGAAAAGAATTCAGTCTTTGCCACAAACTTAAATTTTCTAATCCCTACATCTTTGCAACCTATACCGGTATAAACCACTGGGTTTTTAAAGATTTAGGGATTAGAAAATCAGAGTTTGTGGCAAACACTCATTTCCTTTAAACGAGAGCAAACTCGACAAAGCTTTGTTCATGAGAGACAGGTTTAAATGGTTCGGTTGTGAATCGCTAATAGCAAAGTTTAAATTGGTTATTTTGATAATACTCTTATAAAAATAAGAATAAAACCATGTGCACAGTGGATCAAAATTAGAATAAAACCATGTGCACAGTGGATCAAATTTAGAATAAGACCATGTGCACAGTGGATCAAATTTAGAAGAAAGCCATGTGCACAGTGGATCAAAATTAGAATAAAACCATGTGCACAGTGGATCAAATTTAGAATAAAACCATGTGCACAGTGGATCAAAATAAGCACAAAGCCATGTGCACAGTGGACGTGATTGTGTTAAAGATTATTGAAAGGAAACATAGGATTGGTAATAAACATTAAGATATCTGAATTAAAAGTGTTATTAATTATGATTTTTTAAATATTGATATAAATTTATAAAAATTTGAGGAATTGTTGAGTCAACCTATTTCAAAGCGCTATCCAACTATTCACAACGATTTCCTTTAAATTTTCGGAAGAATAAATAATGGATACATTTGTTTTTCTATCTCAAATGTGTCTAACAGTTTTAACTTGTGGATTTTTACAGAAAATGTGACCAAGAAAGTGTTTGTAATTTGTTCATAAAAGAAAAACGAAAAGATTAAAAGTTAAAAGTCTAACGATGTAAAGTTTAACGGTTTTAAAGGGAGTGACCGGCTATATATGTAATTTAGTCGAACTGAGTATGAAGTGTTGTGGAAAACTTCTTTCGGATTCATTTGAGACATATTAAACTTTTTAAAGATCTGTAAATCCTGTGTTTGAGCGCAAATTCTACGTTCAAAACTCATACTTTGGGGGTCTCAAATGAATCCGAAAGAAGTTTTCCACAACACTTCATACTCAGTTCAACTACCTTACATAGCCGGTCACTCCCTTTTAAGCTTAAAGGTTTAAAGTTTACGGTTTAAAGTTTAAAGGTTTAAAGTTTGAACGTTTAGTTTAAAGGTTTTAAGTTTAAATGTTTAAAGGTTTAAAGTTTAAAGGTTCATTTTAAAGGTTTAGTTTAAAGGTTTAGTTTAAAGGTTTAGTTTAAAGGTTTAGCTTAAAGGTTTTGTTTAAAGGTTTAAAGTTTAAAGGGACTGTTTCATGGTATTTCTCTATTAATGAGTCTCGTAACCTAAATTAATATTCCCTTTAAGGATCATTGGACACATGACAGTAGTATGTTAACATTGATATTATTATCAATATCTATATTATTGATATTAATATTTAAGGATGGATAGTATCAAGAAGAAAATGGAAAAGCTGGCGACAGAAACTGCTGAGGCTGAGGCAAGGATAGAGAGGTCAGATCTATCTATCTATCTATCTAGACATCTAACTATATAATCTGTCTATCTATCTATCTATATATATATATATATATATCTACCTATCTAACTATATATCCTTCTATAAATTTTTCTATCTATTTTTCCATCTATTAATCTATCTATCTGTTGTAAAAAAAATTATATTAAATGTATATGGTTGTAGAGCTAACATAGCCCATACAATTGCTAATAAATACGTATTTCATTAAGCCCATTTCTAATGTTCCTCATATTAAAACAGTTTTATGCACTCGTTTTGTACAATTTGTCACCAGTTTATCAAATTGTCCTAAGCTATGTATTCGTCTTTTAGTTGATCTAAGTAAACATGATTTAAGAACTGTTTTATGTAAAATCTTGAATCTATAATTGCACAAGATTGTAATATACAATATAGAAATCTAAACAAATTTTGTGTGAAACATAATATGATTACAATCAGATTCCTTTAGACTAAGAATGGAAATTACCCATGCTTCATGAATTACTCAAAGTTAAAGATGCTAATTTTATTCTAAACTATTTTGATGATAATGAGATCGCAACCATGATCAACTTTTTATGAAACTATATTTATATATCTATACTTTTTCATGTTTTTGTCTTTTTGACATTGTACCATTATACACCTTTGTGTACGAAATAAATCTATAATAATAATAATTAATGCAAATATTAATTGCCAAACTTACATTTATTTCGCCAGGAACCCCCAATTCAATGCTTATATTACAGCTAGGGTTCTTATTCGTTTTAAACTTAAAAAAAAAACAACGATTCAGTTTCATTTCTCGTTTTTTCTTCGTCGTTTTAAAACGAAATGATCGTTTTTCAAAAACGTGAAAGCGATCTATCCCTAATTTCAGGTATGAGACCATCAAGGCTGCTAATGAGCTTGAAGCTGAGAAGTTTGAAGAACAGCTGAGAAATATTCAGAAGAAGATGCAGAGCATGGAAGGACAGTTTGATGGATGTACTGAAGATTTATTCAATCAAACCATCAAGGAAACAAGAAGAATTAATTGCAAAATTAAAGAAAATAAAATAAATTAAACAAAACAACAAACATTTTTATGAAGGTAAGGGAATTTATTGATAAGCAAAAAAAAACCTTCCGTATATGATAGAAAATTAATCCATGTAATAAAGCTCTTCGCTCATATATATATATATACATATATATCAATAATACTGTATTAAATAAAAAATAGCAAATGTTCTGAACTTTTTTTAAGAAGATATGTTTATATACACATATGTCAGCTATAACTGGCCAAAATGCTATGCCAAGGTGGCTTAATTTTTTTTTCAAAAATCTATTTTTTTTATTTAAAAACTTTTCTTTAAAATTCGGTTTTTTTAGTACTTTTAAAATTCCACGGGCAACGCCGGGCACTTCAGATAATATTTTATAAAATCAAGCAATCTAATAATTCTTGAATTAGTTGGAGGAAATGGAAAAGAAAGCTGGCAATGCTGAGAGTGATGTTTCAGGCCTGCGCTCAAGGAACTAAACTACTCTTTTTACCTCTGAATATTTCATCAACTTTTTTATTAAATTTACATTTGCAACATTTACTGGTTGCATAGATTCAGGGGCGAATACAGAGGGGGCGGGGGTGACATTCGCCCCCCCTGAATTCGGAATTTTTGTTCCTATTTTTAGAATAGCTTCTCAATTGCATGCTTAAGGGAAAGAAACCCTAGTGCAAAACAGGAAAAATATCTTTCTTAATAAACTATAATGTGTGAAAAGTTAAAATTCTAGTTTTTTAGTCTTTAGTCATTAATTTTGACTCTATTTGAGTCTTTTAAGTCAAAAAAAAAGTTTCACCTGCGGCGCGATTTTTTGTTCCTAATTATGAATTTTTTGTTCCTAAAAAATCTTGCCCCCCCCCCCTTCACTTAAATCCTGTATCCGCCCCTGGGTAGATTAGTTTGAAATTGTATCCATGATGCTACCTTTTAAGGCAGAGATCACATAGTTTCAGTTTTTTTCTAATTCCCTATTTTATATACTGAGTACTGAGGTGTGCTTAGGTTGATTCTGTTACAGGAGAACAATGAGAAGCAAGAGGAAAGGTTGGCCAAGTGTACCCTGGAGCTGGCTGGGGCTTGTGTCAGGTATATATTAAGCAAGAGGGAAGTTTGGCCAAGTGTACCCTGGAGCTGGCTGGGGCTTGTGTCAGGTATATATTAAGCAAGAGTAAAGGTTGGCCAAGTGTACCCTGGAGCTGGCAGGGGCTTGTGTCAGGTATATATTAGTAATTACTAATCAATCAAGCATAGTCTACTCAACTTTACTTTAACCTTAGATTGATCTGAATTTGACGCTTAATTAATAACTTGATCTCGTGTTACAGAGCAGACGGGAGTGTTAAGAAGCGACATGATTTGGAAAACGGGTGTTCTAATAACGAAGAACAGATTGATGGGCTGGAAAAGCAGTTAAAAGATGCACAGTTCATGCATAGGGAGTCAGGTAACTCTATATTTATTGTGATGCAATATAGATATAGATAGGCATTGTTTTTGTGGACCAACAACATTTTTGTGAATGAACAAACTTTTCAGTGAACAATTAAACCGTTTTAAAAAGAACAGCAAATTAACGAGCAATTTAAAATTGTTAATGATAGTCTACATTTTTACTATCAGCCAGACAGTTAACAAACGATGTCTTTATCAATGTTAGTAAAGAAAGGATTTTGCTACATGAACGACTTTACTGAACAAACAATCGCACTGAACAAACTATCTCACTGAACAAACAATCTCACTGAACAAACTATTTCACTGAAAAAAACGATCTCACTGAAAAAACGATCTCACTGAACAAACGATCTCAGTGAACAAACTATCTCACTGAACAAACGTTCTCACTGAACAAACGATCTCACTGAACAAACGATCTCACTGAACAAACGATCTCACTGAACAAACGATGTCACTGAACAAACGATCTCACTGAACAAACGATCTCACTGAACAAACGATCTCACTGAATGAATGATATCAATGAACAAACTATTTTATTTAACGATCCTTCAGTTATAAATAAAGAAAATAAATGATTTAATATTTCTGAGAACAAACTAAGTCAAATTTTTACTGAACGACAGAAGAAAACGAACGAAATTGATTGTTAACAAATGATGAAAGAAAGAATTAAAAAAAACGAATGTGCCCATCTCTAAAACTATATATATATCTATGTTTAGAAAGAAAGTATGAAGATATCTCTAGAAAGATGGCTACCCTTGATGCTGATGCAGCAAGGGGAAATGAAAGAGCTGATGGAGCTGAGAAAAAGATCTTAGATTTAGAGGAGGAACTTAAGGTAGAATATTCACTTGGGCACAAAAAGTACAAATCTTAACAGTTTCATTTCGTTTTCATTAATACGCTTCTCTGATCTTGTAAAGGTTGTTGGTCAAAGTCTTCAGCAACTAGAGGTAGGTGAAGAGCAACGGAGGATTCGGGAGGAACAACTTCAAGCCCAGATAATGGATTTGAGAAACAAACTAAAGGCCTCTGAGTACAGAGGAGAGCAGGCAGAGATGAACATTCAGAGATTAAATGTTAGAATCGATCAGGTGATTATAGCTCATGTTCAAAGATCTGAAAAATTATTAAGAATGATTAGCTTAGACTATATTATTTAACCTGCAAATGCTACAGGTGGAGGAGGATCTCCTCCAAGAGAAGTTGAAGATTAAGAAGATAAGCGATGATCTGAACCAAACATTTGAGGATATGCTCTCATTAGGATGCTAGAAACACCTTGATGTTAACAGTCTTAACTTTACGCACTAATCCATTCTTATTCTCGAATCATTTGTTCCTGAATCTCTACAGGGAAAATGCTTTTTTTCAAAAGCAGATTAGGCTGAGCCATTTTAAATTGCATGCCCAATGCTGCATTGATGTTAATCACATTTAATCTAGGATATAGGTTTATTTCATTCAAATTAAAAATACTTTCTGTTTGTTCTTGTTTATTTTCTGTATGGGTTCTTTGCAGTTGTATTTAACATCATTTGATTACCCTTACTGAAAACGTCCCGAAACCAGTTATTTCTATATGGATGCCATAAGAAGATCATTTTATTGCAGAAGAATGGATTCAATTAAGAAAAAGATGCAGAGTCTGGCCAATGAGACTGCTAATGCTACAGCCAGAGCAGAACGATGGGAGACTGAATGTAAGAGGATTAATGTAACAGCTGATCAGTATGAGGAACAGGTAAACAGCTGATCAGTATGAGGTACAGTTAATCAGCTAATCTGTATGAGGAGCAGGTAAACAGTTGATCAGCATGAGGAACAGATAAACAGCTGATCAGTATAAGGAGCAGCTAAACAGCTGATCAATAGAAGGAGCAAGTATACAGCTGATCAGTATGAGGAACAGGTAAGCAGCTGATCAGTATGATGAACAGATAAACAGCTGATCAGTATTGAGAACAGGTAAAAAGTTGATCAGTATGAGGAATAGTTAAAAAGCTGATCAGTATGAAGAACAGGTAAACACCTGATCAGTATGATGAACAGAAAAACAGCTGATCAGTATGATGGACAGATAAACAGCTGATCAGTATGAGGAACAGGTAACCAGCTAATCAGTATTAAGAACAGGTAAACAGCTGATCAGTATGAGGAACAGATAAACAGCTGATCAGTATTAAGAACAGGTAAACAGCTGATCAGTAGTAGGAACAGATAAACAGCTGATCATTTTTAATAAAAGAGTCAGAGTTAATTATTAGTGTACGTCCACAAAAAAATCATTTCAATAAAATTCTCTTTCAAAATATATCTAACTACTTGAACAGAAGACCATAATCCAAACCATATTCAGCAGATTCTATACTTCTCTATTCAGGTTCGAACACTGCAGAAGAAGATACAATCAATGGAAGGTCAATTTGATGCCTGCACTGAAGACCTATTCAACCAAACTATTAAAGTAAGAGTTTATTAATTAATAAGTTTATCAGCCACCATTAACAAAGCTTACGGTGTGTTCTGTAGTTATCTACAGTGCACTGACCAAATATATATAGTAGCGTTTAGAGTTTAGTTTTGATGGCATTAAATCAAGCAGGGAACTTTAATACTTTTTAAATACATTAGTTTTGTTTCTCTATTTCTTTAAGTTTCTGTTATTTTACTAAAAAAATGTTACTTTTTGTTTGTTGACCTGTAAATGAATGGTTGTGCGTATAGTTAGAGGATATGGAGAAGAAGGCCGGAAATGCTGAGGGCTGTGTAGGAGATCTTGCCAGACGTCTTCTTCTTCTTGAAGAAAATGCAGTCAAAGCAGATGAAAGGTTATATTTATTTTCAATTAACTTACAGGTAAAGTGTATTNTTGGTCGAGGGAACCCGTGGTCAAGTAAAATTTTTAATTTCCCGAAAAAGTAGTTGTACACAATTTTATCGCCATTTGAGATGGAAATGCGCAAATTTTTTCCTGAACTTTGCAGAGCGGGTGGTTATTTTACATAACTGTCTCAAGGGACGGTAAGGTGGTAAAGAATCTTATTTCACATTATTTCTAAATAAAAAAAATGTTCCAGACTAGATTTGCATTATCTTTAGATTGGCCGTTGCTGTAACAAACCTGGCCAAAACATCATTACTAGCAGATAAAAGTGTTAAGGTAACTCTAGGGCAAGAAAATCATATTTTAAAAACACACAAAAAAGTAAGAAACAATGTTCTGAAGCTTGTTTGATAAATTCAGAAGTTTTAAAAAAAATCCTTTCAATTCGGGGAAATAAGATTTTTTAAAGAAGTTTGAAGACGATCTTTCTTTGGCGTTTTTGGAAAATAGAAAAACACGCTGCATAAGCTGACGTTCTTATTCTTTTGTGAACCTGAAACCGTCTCCCAAGGTGTGTTTAGGTTCGTCATGAAATGGAGCAGGAGTGTGGACGAAAGAGTGAAAATAATGATGGACTTGAACAGCAACTCAAGGTAAGATTAACAGCATTAACTTACTTAAGCATCATCTGGTGCTGATCTGCAGTAACTAACTTAAACAGCATTTGGTGCCAAATGGCCCAAACTACAGCAACCTACTTGAACATAATCTGTTTGTTTAGGATGCCTATTTTACAGCCTAACAGAATCTGTTTGCTTAGGATGCCCAGTATAACCTAACCTAATCTGTTTGTTTAGGATGCACGGTATATAACCTAATCTGTTTGTTTAGGATCCCCGGTATATAACCTAATCTGTTTGTTTAGGATGCCCAGTTTATAACCTAATCTGTTTGTTTAGGATGCCCAGTATAACCTAACCTAATCTGTTTGTTTAGGATGCCCGGTATATAACCTAATCTGTTTGTTTAGGATGCCCGGTATATAACCTAATCTGTTTGTTTAGGATGCCCAGTATATAACCTAATCTGTTTGTATAGGATGCCCGATATATAACCTAATCTGTTTGTTTAGGATGCCCAGTATAGAACCTAATCTGTTTGTTTAGGATGCCCAGTATAACCTAATCTGTATGTTAAGGATAACCAGTATATAACCTTAAAGAATCTGTTTGTTTAGGATGCCCGGTATATAACCTAATCTGTATGTTTAGGATGCCCGTATATAACCTTAAATAATCTGTTTGTTTAGGATGCCCGGTATATAACCTAATCTGTGTGTTTAGGATGCCCAGTATACAACCTAACAGAATCTGTTTGTTTAGGATGCCCAGTATACCCTGACAGAATCTGTTTGTTTAGGATGCCCAGTATACCTTGACAGAATCTGTTTGTTTAGGATGCCCAGTATACCCTGACAGAATCAGAGAACAAATATGAAACTATTGCCAGGAAGTTGGCAACTGTTGAAGCAGAATCTGAACGTGCCAACGAGCGTGCTGAGGGAGTTGAGAGTAAATTCATTGATATTGAAGATGAGTTAAAGGTGTTTTTTTTTTCACTAATAGTAATACTTAATTCATTATGCTTTTGGTAATATCAGAGTTATAAAAATTACAAAATTATCACCTTTGAAAAAGCAAAGAAATTGAAACGATAAAGAGATCTTTAAAGGAAGTGTTCGCGAAAAATGAAAGGGGGTATAGGCTTAATGCGATAAAAAAGCGCTTTTGATCGCTACTAATCTTACTTCTATCTGTTGCGTCTATAAGGATAAAATTGTTAAGCCTATACCCCCCTTTCATTTTTCGCGAACACTCCCTTTAAAACATCATTATACTTACCTTCATGTCTTACATTGTTTACATAAAAAGTGTACTGGAGTTTCAAGAAGGTGCACTAGGTTCATATATTTTTCTACCAGACACTACATTACATTTAATGTAAACAAAGAAATGGATTTCCTTCTTTTAAATACAGTTTTGTCCTCTTTAACTGATTTCTAAGATTTGGAAAAAAATGCCCGATGTAATAACTCTGTCTAATCAGCTTAGAAATTTTCAAGATTTAACCCTAAATTGCGCACATAATACTCGAAAAATCTAGTGCATTTTCTGCGTGTACATTTTTATCTATCTATCTGTCGTAACCTAACCCAACCTAACCTGGAAGTGTGGGTGTGCAATTGTACGGGTGAAATGAATTAAATGGATATTTAAAAGGACTGTATGTGTAACTTCAAGTAAATTTCAGTATGCTGTTCGTTGAGTTCATGCTGTACGCAGTGCACATGAGAATTTTCAGCTGATCATACAAGCGGATTTAGATACGTTTTCATACATATTTCTGTACTCGACGAACATAAACAGATTTTAAGGGTTTCATTTGAGGGTTCCTTGAAATTTCGCTTACAGTCCCTTTAAACGTAATTGTTTTTCAGGTTGTTGGTCAGAATCAGCAGACCCTGGAGGTATCGGAAGAGAAAGCTCTTGAACGAGAAGAGCAGCTCCAGAAGTCGATCAACGACCTGATGGCTAAATTGAAGATTGCTGACACAAGATCAGAGAATGCAGAGATGGATATTCAGAGATTAAATGTTAGGATTGACAAGGTTGAGGAGGATCTGGTAATAGAGAAGATGAAGATTAAGGGAGTATCAGATGATCTGAACAATGTATTCGAGGACATGCTGTATGTTTAGATTAATATTTAAATCTAAATAAATATTACAACTAGTGACTAAAATCTTGAAACCAGGCTAAAAACAATGACCAGTGGAATTGTTATGCACATATAATGATTTAANTTTGATGCTACAAACTGTACATGACAAAATTGGGTTTCTAATACTTTACTCCAATATCCATGGACATTATTTGATGCTACAAACTGTGCATGACTAAATTGGGTTTCTAATACTTTACTCCGATATCCATGGACATTATTTAGTCTTTGATCAATTTAATCTTTTCTACACTTTAAATATTCTGTATCTTGTGCTTTCTTTTAGTTTTAGAATATATTTATTTAACTTATTCAATTTTGAGACCTCATTAAGATTGATATTTGTCAGTTAAAATTCAAGATATCTTTTTAGAAAATAAATATTTTTACTCGCCTCCCGGCGCAAAGCAAATACCTTTTTACAAGCTTAAAATATCACTAAAAAAATCTTATTGACATATAAATGTGTTTCAATCTTAATATATCTTAAATATTTTTCTTTATGAAAATGTTGCCAACACTGGAACTTTTAAAATAAAATTTTTTTCATTTTCGTTTATCAGGGTTAGTTACAGCTTCCCTGTTTTAAACAAGATTTAAAAACAATTAGATCAGAAAATACCTTGACATTGTATTAACGATAAACAAACCCAAAACTCTAAATTTAGGTTTAAATTTTTGACCAATTTTAACATATGGCATTGGCAAATTCTATGAATATACTGTTTCGGACCTTTAAAATAAATCCGTCGCTAATGTAAGAGGTTTCGTGGTTTTCTCGAATGCCATTCAACACACAACTTACATATATATATATCTAAAATACCTTGGGAACCCAGCGTTGCCCAGGTTACTCCCGCCGTTTACCCGCGATTGGTCTTAAATTACGATTTTAAGAATTCATCATAATATAGAATTCAGCTTAATATAGAATTAAGCTTGATATAGAATTCAGCTTTATACAGAATTCAGCTTTACTAAGAATTCAGCTTTATAAAGAATTCAGCTATATTAAGAATCCAGCTTTATAAAGAATTCAGCTTTATTAAGAATTTAGCTTTTTAAAGTATTCAGCATTATTAAGAATTCAGCTTTATGAAGAATTTAGCTTTATAACACAAACAGCTTTAAAAAGACTCCAATTAAAAAACAATCCTTGGTTCATAACGAATTATGTTGCATAACGAATCCAGTTCTTAACGAATCCAGTTCTTAACGAATCCAGTTCTTAACGAATCCAGTTCTTAACAAATCCAGTTTCATGACGACATCTATGAGGGTTTATGCTAAAACTAATATAATGTTTGTGCATTAAAAACTGAGTTTTTACCTTATTTAAAACGCTTTAAACTGGTGCATCGAAGAAAGGAAAATTGTTCAAATTCCGTTCCCAAGGCGGAACATGGATTTCTTCAGGAAATACAAGCAAGAAAATGGTAGAGAATAAGAGAGATTAACAACAACATCTTTATTCTACAGATAATACTTTAATTCAGTATTACGTGGACATTCTCTTTAAAGGTGGTTTTTGAAAATATATTGTCTGTAAAAAAAACCTAAAAATTTTGAAGTTGAGCGCAATTCCAAGCCCTGCACGCTACCGCAGATACCGTCCAAGGAACAATAGACCCACATACTCCTTAGCATAAATCATTCAGGGAGGATTAAAATGCTACATATAGATTTATCTAGGGAGGATTAAGAAGCGGAATGTGTTCTACGTGTAGCATTAAAAAGTAGAGTGTTTTATGCAGGTTAGATTTAATAGTAGAGTGTTTTCTTCAGGGAGGATTGAATATTAGAGTGTTTTTTACAGGTAGGATTAGAAAGTTGAATTTTCCCTTAAAAAAGGATTACACAATGGGATTTTAATGGGACGGATTATATAAATATAATGATAAATATATTATGATTGAAAATTGGAAGTGCAACCCTTTATAAAAACTGAAAGCACAAACAGATCTTCTTATAAGAGTCTTTCTCCAGATCTTCCTTACACTGCTTTTTAATAGATCCATAAATTGGGAAAGTTTTATCTTAATGTTATTTTATTGACTCCATGAATTATATTGACTCCATGAATTTTACTGACTCCATGAATCCTCCTCGACTAACCCAGCATCCAACCCCAGGGGTCAAGAAATAATAATCTAACATTTTTCTATTTTTTTTGCAATATTTTTAAAAATCTTCGGAATCTCTTTTTTTTACTTTTAGATTTTTTGACATTCTTAAGTTTTGTTTGGAAATAAAAAAAAACTGTAGTGAATTATTTTATACTTTGCTGTTGTAATGCTTGAAATATTTCAATGTTTAACTCACTACCACAAAGGTATCAGGAATATTGAAAAGAAATGGCAAGTTTTTGCGAAAAATTGAAAAAAGACATTGAGAGAATTGAAAATCTAGGATATTTTTTTGCTTGTCAATACTGTAGAAATCCGTTTTTACCTTTTAAAAAAATGTAATAGTCGCATGATATTACTTTTTAAGATATTCCGTTGTCTTAACTCTGAAATATGTCAAAAAGATACTGCTATAAATTCTTGATGGCATTGTGTGGGGGGGGGTAGAGCCATGTTTAAAATGGCGTTGAATTTCTCTGTACACGCAAAAGCCCCGTATTTTATACCGGTTATTGTTAAATCTGTATAAAGCAGGAATGTGCAAATAGTCTGGTTTAGTACTATGTTTATCTATACAATACTTTATACCATGGATAATATATAATAGTTCTCCTATATATATATATATAGATATTTATAAATTTTTACTGGAGTAGCGGTTTTCAAACAGACGACTGTATCGTCNCAAATATTGCCACGATTTTTTTTCTTTCGTATTTTTGATTATCAGATTCAAGAGTTTTAATCCTGAAAGATAAACGGCCATGCCGACGAATTTTATCCGTGATTAATCTTTGAGCCTATAATTTAAATTCTTTGTCTAAAAGTTGGGTTTTGAGAGAATCCATTTTAGTTCTTTTTTTAGATTTACAAAACCCCTGGCTGTCCATTTTAATAGTTCGCCATAAACTTTGTAAAAATATTTTACATATTTAAATATATTTGATGCAAAACATACAGTAATATTTCCAGATATTAATGTACAATATACAGTGCAGAATGGATATTATACTTATTTCTGTTCAAGTTTTATAATTGAAGTAAATTTTCCTTTATTAAAAAAACGTCTCTACTATTAAAGGGACTGTACAGTGTACACATTAATCTAGTGGCTTATTAACTTCACAAAGGTTCCATTTAAACCTTTATTTGATTACGAAAGGTAGAAAGTGTTGTCATAAAAGTGTGAAAACCTCATTTATAAGGAAACAAATGAAAAATATAATATCAAAGCTAGGAAACAAATGAAAAATATAATATCAAAGCTAGGAAACAAATGTAAAATATAATATCAAAGCTAGGAAACAGATGAAAAATATAATATCAAAGCTAGGAAACAAATGAAAAATATAATATCAAAGCTAGGAAACAAATGTAAAATATAATATCAAAGCTAGGAAACAAATGAAAAATATAATATCAAAGCTAGGAANTAAGTAGGTAGGTAGGTAGGTAGGTAGGTATGGTATGGTATGTAGGTAGGTAGGTAGGTAACTTAGGTACGGTACAGTCGTCTCTAAAGTCTCATCCTTGGTCGGTATCCCGGTATCCCGGTATCCCGGTATCCACATCAAGAAATGTGTACAAAGTACAGGGTTACCCACAAAAGATGAGACTGTAAATACGACCTAAAACTCCTAAAACTCCAATGTTAGATTAAGTCTTTTGCCTGGCATATAGTTTTGTTGTATGGCATTTTTAATGATTCGGCAAAGAAATAAACAAGTTTTGAATTGCAGAGAATCATATATATAAAAAATAGGCGGTATAAAATCCTTACCATTCTCTAAAGTCTCAAGTTTGTTGTGCCCTTGTATCCGAATATAGAAATGTGTACAATGAATGCAGTATACAGGTCGTACTCTATATTTAGTGTACATGGTGTGTCAATAAACATGGGAATTGAGAGACGACTTGAAAGTCGTCTTTGATTTCTGATTTTTAATGAATGGCAAAGAAAGTAAAATAACGAGGCTTTTCATAAAATGGTCTACCTTTCTTATATCTTAAAAATTGACGCGAAGATATTAGATCAAGGGCATAAATAGAGGGGTTATTGGGGTTATTTACCCCCCCCCAGAATCCTGGGGGTCCCCCCCTAGAATGGCTTTTAGTCATTATATTCTAAATGATTCTAAATTTTAAAGTAATAGTCAATGTCATACAATTAGATGTTTTTTTAATAGAAAATAATGTCATTTCCATATTAGATTAATTTAAGTTCTCAACATACTACATTGACGACAAGAAAATTTTAGAAATTAGAAATTAGAATATAAACAAAGACAATATTTTTTCAAAGTTTTGCAGAATAGCTTTACTAAAGAGTTAAAGGTAACATCATTTTCCTCTTAGAGTAAAACTATTTTTTATGTTACTTAAAATAAATTCAGTTTTTCTACAGATCTTTTTAGTTAATGTAAAATTAATGACTATAATGAAGGATATAAAACAAGGCGAAAGCTGAAAGGTAGGAAATGAAGCCTTTATTTGATGGAGTTTGTAAATGCCAGAAATAAGTGAAAAATGCAAATCAAACACAAATATAACCAATAATTTGATATACATAA